TGATGCCTTACACCTGATCCCTTCGACACCTCGTGGTTGCATGTGGCCACAGTCTTGAGGGTAATTGGAGAATACTTTAAATCGGACACTTAACTTTAACAAATGACATGATAAGGCTGTTGTGTAAAGTACCTGAAATATCCTCCTGCCTCCTCCTCTCTGGAGGCCTATGGACAGTGCTCAGAGACGCATGGCTCTTTCCTAGGGAAAGAGAGAGTGAAAAACAACTGACGCAGAAGAGTCTGAGGACAAGCTTCTCAGTGGTTGGCTCTTGGCTCAGAATTTCATTTGCTCTAGAACTTTGTGCGTGCTTCCTACTCTGTATGCTACACATTTACTCTTATGTTACAATAATGGTATCTGCCTCAGAAATTTCTTGTGAAAATTAAAATAAATAATACTTGCAATCTACTTAATCTGAAGAGCTTATTGAAGCCCAGACACCAAAGGGCACAAGGATGGAAGGGTCTGGCAGGAAAGAAGAAAAAATGGAGACGATGAACCCAGGGGGCAGTTGAAGAGATCGCAGCCAAGGTGTGTGAAATATATGAGTGTGGCCTGTTGAACGGAAAACGATTTTCGTCTGTAAACTTCTACTCCAGAGACAATCAAAATAAAAAGGGCCACCACCACCCAAAACACAATCCATCAGGGATGATAGAAAATGTCCTTTGGGAAGGAGCCTATCACAGGTAATATATTTGTGCGTGTGTGCCCGCTCGTCTGAAAGGGACCCATTAGCAATGGAAATCTGCTCATTATTTCCACTAAGACTGCTATTTCAAACGTGTTCTATTGTTAAACAGCATGATGAAGATCGGTCGTTTTTCACTGGTCTCTTGCCCCCCCCCCCCCCCCCCCCCCCAAGCAGACAGGCATTTTCTGGTTGAATCACTCATGCACAGCCACAGGAGAAGAGACTCAATTCAGCTCCCCGCTTGGTGGACCAGGAAGCGAAGTAAAAGAGATGAGCGACACCTAGGTGTCAAGGTGGCCCCCAAGATGCACAGGAGAGGCTCCAGTGCCCATTGGGGCACCATGAGTTTCCTCAAGCGCCTTATTAAACTACTGTTTGTGAAGCTCCCGTCTATCGAATCCCAATCTCATCTGACGAGCAGAGAGCTAGACGGTATGCTACAGGACCTCATGCACTTGAACCTCAAGGTGCAAGTAAATAAAAATTTAAACTTAATACGAGTACATCCAGTCTAGAGTGCAGCAAAAAACCCCAACAAAACACCGTTAACAACAAAATCACCTCTCCTTTTGTACAGAACGAGAGAAGGTATCTAGGTAGATATTCTCTGGCTTGAAGTTTAATATTGGATATTGAACCCATATTTTAAGATAAACAGCTGAAATTGCTTTAATCAATTCCTTAAAAAAAATAACCAAAACATACTGAGGTAATAATTGAATGTCAGTCATCATATAATTTTTTTAAATTGCTTTCAACCTGGTGGAAAAATAACAGCATATGCCAACAGCAAGGATCTAACTATGATAAAAATGCATAATCAAATTAGCTGTGTTGATGGGGCATAATGTTTATTCAAGCAGAGCTGTCTATTGCTGTGTATTGATGAAATGTTTCTGCTTGAACAGAATGCAGGCACATGATTAGTACGTTTATCATGAAATCCGAATATGACGATGGTATCTACCAGTCAAGTTGTGCTCAACTTATATCAAGAGCACCTCAGGAGAGATGGTAAATTCACATCTATGATCATGTCAAGCACATTCTTTTCTTTTTGTGATTTCAGGTGCAAATAACTTAAGAGAAAGGCTGAGAAGAGATGTGAGAATGTGAGAAAAGTCAGAAGCAAGCATTTACTCAGCCAGAAAGATAGGTAGACAGAGGTGGAAATAGATATATTCCACTTGGATTAGCACAAATTTCAAATCTTCAGGAAGACAGACATTCCTCATGGTGTGGTGTGGTACATGTTGAACTGCTAGCCACCAAGCTCAGCTGTTCTAAACCTCAAGCCATGCCAAGGGAGAAAGAGGAGGGTGTCTGCTCTGGTAAAGAGTTGTAGCTTTAGAAACCCACAGGGGCAGCTCTACCCTGACTACAGGGTCACTATGAGTCAGAATTGACTCCGTGACAGTGAGTTTGAGTAGTAAGAATGGAATATATTTGAGTAGCAGTGTTCACAGGGTGTTAGCCACTTTAGATGTTTACTCGTTAGGAGGGACCAAATTCTTTAAGTGAATTTACTGATTCAATTCTCTCTACAACCCTATGAAGCTAATTTTATTATGTCCTACTGTGTAGATTAGGAACCAATATTTTATGGATTAACTTTCCCCTGATGAAGAACGCGTGCAAGCTGTGGGCAGTGATCACATCTAGGTTCACCAAACTTCACGATTCTGGTTTTAAAACAATGACTGATGCTGTCGTCTACCGATGCCTCATTGTTAAGTGCTGTTTTCTGTTAGCAATGAATTATGAATGGGTTTCCTAATTTTATTAAACCCGTGGAAAACTTACAGTACCTTGTCAGGTGCAATATTAAATGTTTAGTTGTTATTGCTATAGGAAGTGACACTCCACAGGAGAATATAGATAACAAATCTCTTATAAACCTGCAGTTTGAATATGCACTCTCAATCTAATTTTACCAAATAGGCAATAATCAGAGAAAGGAGTAATTAAATATGTTAATACTCCCCAGGATGTTTTAACAGTTGCATGCTGAAAACACAATCTTTTGAAATCTGCAACTGATTTAAGAAAATCACATACACTCTTTTTTAACATAAGAAAGGGAGGGGTAAAGGCCACTATTTCTAAAACAAGTGTATGATAAGAACATTATAAAAAAAGCTTCTCTCAGGTCCAATTCCCTGTGGAGAATGTTCTAAAATAAACA